TGGTTATCTGTATTATAATAGGAGGTATATGTGCATGGACGGTTAGGATAAACTGTGAATAAATAAGGATAATTCTAATAATTTATGGAATGAATGATTCGTCCGGTGGTGTTGAATTCAACACCACCGGACGAAGGTCTGCCTTCTTGTTCCAGTGTTCAGGGCTGGCGCTGATGCTGCTGTTAAAAATACCAAAATACGGAAACAGGCAGAAAAAAGGAAAACTAATGTGACTCAATATACAGTACCAGTATCCTTGGAGAAAGGAACTTTCAAATGAATTTCACTTCATGCCCAGCTGAGTGCATGGTTTGCAACGTATAAACCATTCAATTCTTGTGTCACAGTTGTTCTTCCCTCAGTACAATGCCAACATACTATGGTATCTCCGGTCATTTCGGAGGTATATCCTGTAGAATGAACGGCCAGAGTGCAGCAATATCACTTACTTTGAGGTATGGTTAGCAGTCGGTTGAGGCGATTCCGCTGCTCCTGTTGTTGTTGTTGTTGTTGTTGTTGCTGCTGCTGCTGCTGCTGCTGTTGTTGTTGTTGTTGTTGTTGTTGTTGTTGTTGTTGTTGTTGTTGTTGTTGCCTTTGCTGCTGCTGCTGCTGTTGATGATCAATCTCTTGTCTGTTGCTGTAATGAATAGTATGAGGGAGACAACAAGGTGGTACACACATGGTTTAGAATATTATTGTCTAATCCCTACAACAATCCCCCATCAGGGAAGATTGGGGGGGGGGGGGTACTCAAGGCCCCCAGACAACCCCACAGGGCTTCAATGTGTGCCATTCCTTTTTTAAGTCGATGAGAGGTACACTGACCAAAAAACACTTGTTATTTTCCCAGGTGTTCAAGGGACTTAACAGGAAATCACATTTTTCCACTTTTTGGGGGCTGTGTTGGGAAAATTCTATACGTTTTCTCTCCGGCCACTGTCACAGTTTGACAGGTGTTGGGGGAGTGGACAGCAGGTCACACATCAAAATATGCCAACAAATTTTGCTGCAAAACAGCCACACGCCACAGGAAGTCCAAACAAAATTAATTGTACTGCAAAACAGGTAACGTTTGCGACAAATACATGTTTGCGTTTTACAAATTGAGACTGGTTTGCGCAGGGGAAGTTAAGGCTAAAATTAATATTTCTCCAGTTGTAGTCTTCGAGGTGCTGAGTCAAATGGTGGTGGTCCGAGGAAGCTGAGACACTCCCTTCCTACTTTAATCCCAATCGAACTCACGCACTTCCACCGAAACTGGGTGACTGCGCCCTACTAGATGGGGATTTGTATGCAAAATGTCACTAAAAGCGCCATTTCGTTCTTATAAAAGCACGGGGTTGACCGCGATTGGCCTATATGTTGTAGTCTTTTGGACGCTGAGTCGACTGGTTTTGGTCCGAGAAAGCTGCGATGCAGCGTTCCTCCTTTATTCCCAATCGAACATGGTTGAACAAGCGGTCACGTGCTCCTGCGTGCCCAAGTCACCTGGTCAAAGTGCCAGCTGGCGACGACTTTCACACCAAGGTTCAACTCGAGTGACAGGACCGCACCCAAAAAAGGTCAAACAGGCTAGTAAGTTGTACCCTGCAGGCACGGTGACCAGGTAACTGGTGTACGCAGGAGCACGTGACCGGCTGTTCAAGCATGTTCGATTGGGAATAAGGGCCGAACGCTGCATCGCAATCTTTTCGGACCAAAACCAGTCAACTCAGCGTCCAAAAGACTACAACATATGGGCCAATCGCGGTCATCCGTGCTTTTATAAGAACGAAATGGCGCTTTTAGTGACATTTTGCATACAAATCCCCATCTAGTAGGGCGCAGTCACCCAGTTTCGGTGGAAGTGCGCGAGTTCAATTGGGATTAAAGCAGGAAGGGAGCGTCTCAGCTTCCTCGGACCAAGACCATTCGACTCAGCACCCCGAAGACTACAACTGGTGAAATTTTGATTTTGGCTTTAACTTCCCCTTTAACCCTTTGGAGTCCGTAACTGTTTTGCTTCCGCAGAATTTGTGGCGCTCACGAAAATGCGCACTCCATTTCCAACATAACTTTGGTTCTACTTCACCGATTTTGAAGATCTTGGGCTCGTTGGAAAGCTCTTGATGAGAGAAATACAATGAGTCCAAACTCGCCAAGAGCACTTTTCATTGTCCGCCACAACGCGCCCCAAACGCGAGTCCAGTTCCAGTTCTGAGACGAAATCGGTCTCCTGTAGCCATTTCACTGAATCTAGCTCGGAACTGTTCAAAATTTTTCGAGTAGAAGCTTATCTTGCCGTGACTTCGCGCCGCGCCGGTCCTGGCACGTGCCGCCTGTCATGAAGCTGGGAAAATCCCTTTTTTTCACGCACTGCTGACTCGCAGCACGCAGCGCAGAAAATTCGAAATGTTTGATCACTCGCCGCTCATTCAAATTTCATCGGAGAGACTTCGGACCTGCTCAAGGCGATAGCTGAGAGTTTTCTCTACCATCCAAACCCTTCGATTGTTGAATTTGGTCAAGATTTGGCCGAGAACCGAAAGTTTGACTGCGCCCACATGCATACAAAATGACCATGGTTCGAAATCGAACCATGGACTCCAAAGGGTTAATGTTTGCGATTGAATACATATTGAACACATACAGTCATATTGAATACATACTTCTTTGAACTTTACATGGCGCGAAATTGCATTGTTCAAAGTTTGCGATTCGGGGCCTCTCGCAAAATTCGCAAACATTTTTACGTTGCAATAGTTACCCGTTTTACAGTAATACTTACAGCTTTTAAAATTAATACCGTGCATTATATTCATGAACAAATGTAGTTGGACTTACTCGGTCAGTCTGGTTTCATGATCTGCAGGCCCCATCCGGAAACTTTCTACCCAGTTGTCCTGTTCAATAAAACAGCATGACAATAGCACAGTATAATATCAGTCAAAGGAGACTCCCTCGATTTAGGCTAAGGCCTGTGGAGAATCCATAAATACAAATACAAAATACAAAAGCAGCACCAGCATGCACTATTGACACTAGTAGACTACAAATATGTGACACCACCACCACCACCACCACCACCATCACCATCACCACCACCACCACCACCATCACCACCACCACCACCACCACCACCACCAAGATACCACCGCCACCACCACCACCACCACCACCACCACCACCACCACCACCATCACCACCACCACCACCACCACCACCACCACCACCACCATCACCACCACCACCACCAAGATACCAACACCACCATCACCACATGGGCATGGACATGGCTGAAGTAGATCTGTAAATGCACCCGCTGTAGTTACTTGTCATGCGGCTATACCAGTATACAGTAATGTACATACACAGCTGCTGGCAAGTATTCTTTCTGCTAAACAATACTGACAGCAGTCGCAGCCCTGCAAGTAACTGCAATGCAAATGCCTGCTCTGAAAATTAATGTGAAATCATGCCCAGTTGATCGAACACAAAGTGACAATAGTAAAGGAACAGTAACACATCACTAGGTGCTACTGTATTAGGCGCAGGATAATAATCTTTATTTCAGGATTACCCAAAGGCTAACGATTGCGTTGCACAAGTGATAGTTGTAAATAGCTGCTGGCGTGCTGACATGCCTGCACGCACATCTCAGAACTGATTTCATTTTGCTAGCACACTCACCATTGCCATTGGTTCTTTTCGGTGGGTGCGCGTTCTTTTCCGGGCCAATATCCAGCAAAGAAACTAGTTACTTCCGTTCTTTCTCGGCTCGGGTGTTGAAATGGCGCAAATACCCATCGACATGACAATTTGAGGGCAAGAATGGAACTTGAATTTGGAGCCATAATCGAATCCACCAACGGTGAGGAGGAAGTCAGACGCCAGCACATATCTTCACTATACAGCTACGTCAACAGAATGCCTCCAAAACTAGTCAAAGGAGACAAGATCAAAAGGTCGCCCCCAGAGATCTGCCACTTTGAAAGGAAAGGGCGCAATATGAATCATTTGAAAATAATGACTGCTAGTGATGCTAGTAGCAACAACGGTAGATCTGCGAGTGACCGCCAAACTACCAAAGGGAAATGCCAAACTAATGCTTCCAAAAAAGCTTGGCTGTCTCGGACCCGCATGCGCTACGGGGGTATACGGATCGCGCGGTTACCAGGTTACAGCAGTGCTCCAACCGCCTGACCCCTGAGCTGATCAGGGTTCAGACCCATATCTGCAGACCTACACTGCTCGGTAGATCTACGTCGTCAGCTGGCACTGTCGTGGACATGGAAATCCGGTCGCACGTCTAGCAGCCCCAGGGCGCTGGCCATGCAGCCGTAGCACACACGTACGAATCGCTGCTGCTGGTCGCATCGGATCAACATGATTGTGCACTGCATGCAACCACTTACGTTTTCTACTAAAATAATTGTAGGCGCTGAGGGCGCCGGCCCCGGTCAATCGACTGGATTTCCATGTCCGCGACAGTACTTGTACGTCGTTTTAGTTTTAGCGGCTATGGTCTGAGCCAGGTCTGGATGCTACTGACTGTGCATGTGGTAGATCTACATATCGCCAGTGCAGTACTAAAACGCTAGAACTTTTGAAGCCTGTTTACAATAGTTTGAGCAAGGTGGCAAGGTGTCCTCAACAACAAGGCATGTGACGGAGGAGATAGGGGCGGGTGTCAAAAAGGAAGAAGAAGAGAGAGAGAGAGAGAGAGAGAGAGAGAGAGAGAGAGAGAGAGAGAGAGAGAGAGAGAGAGAAAGAGAGAGAGAGAGAAAAGAATGAAAGAAAAAGAGAGAATGGCGGAGGAAACAGCCAGAGCTACCGGAATAGTGACAATATGTTACGGGCCATTTGACCCCAACTCTGCCAGACACACGACAACTGTCCAAGCTCGGGAATAACCACATCTCCCAGAAAACACACACATACAAACACATAATTATACACATGTACACACACATACACACAGCACACAGAACTGAGCTGCAACTTCAGCACACATTTCCAAATTTGAGATGTTCTCTGGAAATTCTCCCGAGTACAGAGGTCTGAGATTGGTCTATGCCATACAACTGCTACTTTAAAGGAGAATGAATGAAGCCTTCGGTGCTTTGCTACATGCTAAGTAGATCCACTAAAGTATAGATTTGTCTAGAATCTAAGTACGAAACAGCCGTATGCAATGCGAATGCCGCATGAAAATTGAGAAAACAAATGTGTGCCATAAATAGTTGATTACTAATTTCTGGTTATCTGTATTATAATAGGAGGTATATGTGCATGGACGGTTAGGATAAACTGTGAATAAATAAGGATAATTCTAATAATTTATGGAATGAATGATTCGTCCGGTGGTGTTGAATTCAACACCACCGGACGAAGGTCTGCCTTCTTGTTCCAGTGTTCAGGGCTGGCGCTGATGCTGCTGTTAAAAATACCAAAATACGGAAGCAGGCAGAAAAAAGGAAAACTAATGTGACTCAATATACAGTACCAGTATCCTTGGAGAAAGGAAGTTTCAAATGTATTTCACTTCATGCACAGCTGAGTGCATTATTTGCAACGTATAAACCATTCAATTCTTGTGTCACAGTTGTTCTTCCCTCAGTACAATGCCAACATACTATGGTATCTCCGGTCATTTCGGAGGTATCATCCTGTAGAATGAACGGCCAGAGTGCAGCAATATCACTTACTTTGAGGTATGGTTAGCAGTCGGTTGAGGCGATTCCGCTGCTCCTGTTGTTGTTGTTGTTGTTGTTGCTGCTGCTGCTGCTGTTGTTGTTGTTGTTGTTGTTGTTGTTGTTGTTGTTGTTGTTGTTGTTGTTGTTGTTGTTGTTGCCTTTGCTGCTGCTGCTGCTGTTGATGATCAATCTCTTGTCTGTTGCTGTAATGAATAGTATGAGGGAGACAACAAGGTGGTACACACATGGTTTAGAATATTATTGTCTAATCCCTACAACAATCCCCCATCAGGGAAGATTGGGGGGGGGGGTACTCAAGGCCCCCAGACAACCCCACAGGGCTTCAATGTGTGCCATTCCTTTTTTAAGTCGATGAGAGGTACACTGACCAAAAAACACTTGTTATTTTCCCAGGTGTTCAAGGGACTTCACAGGAAATCACATTTTCCACGTTTTGGGGGCTGTGTTGGGAAAATTCTATACGTTTTCTCTCCGGCCACTGTCACAGTTTGACAGGTGTTGGGGGAGTGGACAGCAGGTCACACATCAAAATATGCCAACAAATTTTGCTGCAAAACAGCCACACGCCACAGGAAGTCAAAACAAAATTAATTGTACTGCAAAACAGGTAACGTTTGCGACAAATACATGTTTGCGTTTTACAAATTGAGACTGGTTTGCGCAGGGGAAGTTAAGGCTAAAATCAAAATTTCTCCAGTTGTAGTCTTCGAGGTGCTGAGTCAAATGGTGGTGGTCCGAGGAAGCTGAGACACTCCCTTCCTACTTTAATCCCAATCGAACTCACGCACTTCCACCGAAACTGGGTGACTGCGCCCTACTAGATGGGGATTTGTATGCAAAATGTCACTGAAAGCGCCATTTCGTTCTTATAAAAGCACGGGGTTGACCGCGATTGGCCTATATGTTGTAGTCTTTTGGACGCTGAGTCGACTGGTTTTGGTCCGAGAAAGCTGCGATGCAGCGTTCCTCCTTTATTCCCAATCGAACATGGTTGAACAAGCGGTCACGTGCTCCTGCGTGCCCAAGTCACCTGGTCAAAGCGCCAGCTGGCGACGACTTTCACACCAAGGTTCAACTCAAGTGACAGGACCGCACCCAAAAAAGGTCAAACAGGCTAGTAAGTTGTACCCTGCAGGCACGGTGACCAGGTAACTGGTGTACGCAGGAGCACGTGACCCGTTGTTCAAGCATGTTCGATTGGGAATAAGGGCCGAACGCTGCATCGCAATCTTTTCGGACCAAAACCAGTCAACTCAGCGTCCAAAAGACTACAACATATAGGCCAATCGCGGTCATCCGTGCTTTTATAAGAACGAAATGGCGCTTTTAGTGACATTTTGCATGCAAATCCCCATCTAGTAGGGCGCAGTCACCCAGTTTCGGTGGAAGTGCGCGAGTTCAATTGGGATTAAAGCAGGAAGGGAGCGTCTCAGCTTCCTCGGACCAAGACCATTCGACTCAGCACCCCGAGACTACAACTGGTGAAATTTTGATTTTGGCTTTAACTTCCCCTTTAATGTTTGCGATTGAATACATATTGAACACATACAGTCATATTGAATACATACTTCTTTGAACTTTACATGGCGCGAAATTGCATTGTTCAAAGTTTGCGATTCGGGGCCTCTCGCAAAATTCGCAAACATTTTTGCGTTGCAATAGTTACCCGTTTTACAGTAATACTTACAGCTTTTAAAATTAATACCGTGCATTATATTCATGAACAAATGTAGTTGGACTTACTCGGTCAGTCTGGTTTCCTGATCTGCGGGCCCCATCCGGAAACTTTCTACCCAGTTGTCCTGTTCAATAAAACAGCATGACAATAGCACAGTATAATATCAGTCAAAGGAGACTCCCTCGATTTAGGCTAAGGCCTGTGGAGAATCCATAAATACAAATACAAAATACAAAAGCAGCACCAGCATGCACTATTGACACTAGTAGACTACAAATATGTGACACCACCACCACCACCACCACCATCACCACCACCACCACCACCACCAAGGTACCAACACCACCATCACCACATGGGCATGGACATGGCTGAAGTAGATCTGTAAATACACCCACTGTAGTTACATGTCATGCGGCTATACACCAGTATACAGTAATGTACATACACCGCTGCTGGCAAGTATTCTTTCTGCTAAACAATACTGACAGCAGTCGCAGCCCTGCAAGTAATTGCAATGTAAATGCCTGCTCTAAAATGTGAATCAAAATCATTCCGAGTAGATAGAACACAACAGTACAGTAACCGCACATTACTAGTAGGCACTATCACGCGCAGGATTGCGTTGCACTAGTGATAGTTGTAAATAGCTGCTGGCGTGCTGACATGCCTGCACGCACATCTTAGAACTGATTTCATTTTGCTAGCACACTCACCATTGCCATTGGTTCTTTTCGGTGGGTGCGCGTTCTCTTCCGGGCCAATATCCAGCAAAGAAACTAGTTACTTCCGCTCTTTCTCGGCTCGGGTGTTGAAATGGCGCAAATATCCATCGACATGACAATTTGAGGGCAAGACCGGAACTTGAATTTGGAGCCATAATCGAATCCACCAATGGTGATGAGGCAGTAAGACGCCAGCAGAGATCTTCATCATAGCTATGGTCAGTATGGAGATACTATGTCTACATAATAATAAATGCCTCCAAACTAGGCGAAGGAGACAAGATCAAAAGGTCGCCCCCAGAGATCCGCGACTTGGAAACGAAAGGGCGCAATAATCGTTTGAAAATTACGACTAGCACAGTATACTAGTAGCAGACTACTAAAGCCGTTAGATCCGAGTTCCAGTGCCACAAGCTGCAAGACTGCAAACCTACCAAAAGGGAAATGCAAAAGAACATGGCTGTCTCGGACCTGCATGTGCTAGGGATCGCGCTGTTACCAGGCTACTGCAGTAGAACAAGTGCGACAACCACCGGTGCACCGCGGATCAGACTTCAGACCCATATTTTTGGCCATCCCTTTTCAAACCAACACGACAAAAATAGCGCTCCACTGTATACATGTACGGTCTGTAGCCTGCACTGCAGTGTAAGTCATGACATCAGCTAGCGGCTAGGGTCTGAACTCTGAACCCGGTCTTTTCACTAGCAACAACCATGACAACTGAGCTGCTTGGTAGACTACATGGTACTGGTGTCATCGCGGGTCTCGCATCGTGCATCAAAAGCCTGAAAAGAACTCTCCACCGGCCGCATGCGCAGAGTAGAGCGGACAAGCGATGCATCAAGATCATAGCCTGAGCCATGATATTGATAGGGCCTATAAGTATAATCAAGAGTCCATGGACTCTTGGTATAATCGGAGCCATGTCGATATGACTTATGTCCTTTACTTGGCCTAACCGGTATGCGCTGTACCGCGTGCCTGGCCAGCCGGCCGGATATGCGCCCGGGCTGACATATAAAGCAGAATCTGACTATTGCAGGTTAGTGTGTTCGAGCGCCAATGCAGTGCAGCGCTATTTTACCCTGTGCTGGAAACAGAGCGTCATTGTTGATATCCCTACACAGGCTACAGCGCAGTGATACATGTATGATGGTCGAGCTGCAGCCTGCTCCGCATGCTGCACTGCAGCATAAACTACCGGTACTTCTTTAGCCTACTCAACATGAGGGGTGCCCCCCCAAAAACCGTCATGTGACGATGTGCATTGAGAAGGGAGTGGTCGCGACTTTCTTCAAGTGCAGGCTTTGACAAGGTCACTTCCGGGTCAACTTTGTGCTAGTCTGTAGTAGGCTGTAGTTCAGGAGGCTTCTAGCACAAAGACTAAGTAACACGTTAGTTGACCCGGAAGTGCCACGGACCTTGTCATGTTGTGACAGGTTGTGGTTTGAAGGTTAAAACCACAACCTGTCAACATGACAAGGTCACTTCCGGGTCAACGTTGTGCTAGAAGCCTCCTGAAGCTTACTACTGGCAGCCGAGCCACTAAAGCTATTCTTGACTATGAAGGGAGTGATCGAGGGCGCAGACAGTAATACCTGGAGGAATCATGACGGCTGTTGGAGGGCGCGCATCCAAGACGTGCTGGAGCGATTGTCAGATACGTGTAGAACGTCTCTACCGTTGGTCAGTGTCTGCGCTTATGTTAGCGCGAGCTGATTGTCAGGTGACTGGTGGAACATGGTGTTAGTGGACATTACAGCTTGTAGTTCCTTGATCCTCTTCTTCCGTATAGACAATGGCTATTTTTCCACGAGTACATTGCATAATAATATTATACGCAACCCCATTATGCCCACTGCACTGGCGCATCACCATAATATTATATCAACAGTCTCAGTGATGAGAGTGTGGCCAGCTGCCATTTGTCTTCTTCGACAGCCTGCCCAGGAAATGACTGAGTAGTTTTAGCCAACGGTAACTTTGAAAAGTTACTTGCCATGCATGGTAGAGTGTCAGTAAGTTCTCGCAAGCCTAGCCGGGCCTGCTGGTAATTTCCCACCGCTTGCCTGCACAAAGTCAATGATCGGACTTGCCACAGCAGTGCACTCAGCGGCATTCCCTCCAGATATTCCAATCATTTGTGGAGGAGCGGAACAAAACTTTTACAATCTTGTTACATACTTGTGCATGTATTATTGTGGTATTATAAAAAATTTGTTTGAGGTCCATGCAAAGAAAGAAGATAGCTGTATTCATGTGCGCAGCGCAGTAACATCAAACCGGTGTACAGATCACACACATAGAATTATTCTAGCCAACGTACGCGCTGGAGTTCGCGCATAATTAATCAATGCATGCATGCAAGCAAGCAGAAGCAAGCAAAACGAGTATAATTATAATAGACACTGTTGCAAACGTTTTTCTAGAATTTCGAGGAACACCGAGCACACAAACTATGTAACTGACCATAAAACAAACGTGGCTATCATACAAATATGGTCACACTGCTGGCTTGTCGGATTGGCAGAGAAAAATTTACAAGGCGTTGACTAAAGACAATAGGTGGGCATAAGAATAAAGAGAAGCAGGTATTGAAAATAAGATTCAAAATATAATAAAACATTCAGGGTAGTAATTATTCTGCATCTGTGCGCTGAAAATCATCAATCTGCAGAGAATGACACCACACAGAAGACACAGAAAAGGCTCTCGTACACAGACCATAATGTGCTAGTGGTGGTGGTGGGGGTGTAAGCATGCACACACGTGTACGCTTTGATGAGGAGAATGAGTGCTTCTAAACAGCTTTCTGTCTAAGTCCAATCATTTGCCATGTAGTTGAGTGGATGGTGCACTGCCTGGACTGGCAAATTTGTGTTTGTCAGAATCGGATGGTGTGCGGGCTTTTCTTGTCCAGGAAATTAGCTGGCGCCTCCAGAGCCTTGAACATGGTTCGTCAACCCAAGTTCATTCTGTGAACCCTCTCACCATGAATTTGGAATTCTTCCAGGACATCTTGTGAGCAGTGAATTGTTGTCGTAGAGAACATGACATTACAAGTCGATGTGAAAATACTAAATTTTAGTAACTGGTTGCTGGAAACTCTTGCATTAGATATGCTCAGAGGAACGTTGTGTTGGCTTACTTCATAAATAATGGGATCATTTCCGAGCGCCTGGTCGACCGGCGTTGCGTGCACTTGGCTTCCCGGCAGATCGCGGATTTGCTTGCCTGGGTGCTGCAGCTGCTTTCGCCACAGGTGCTTTCGCCGCGGGTGCCTTGGCCTTGGCTGACCCGGCACCGGCGTCTTTCTTCTGCTGCTTGTTGATAGAGGCGAGCATCAGCGAGATGTAGGACGTGAGCAGGTCATCCATCTTGTAACCCTGTGCACGTACACCACACAAGCCAACACATACCTATCAACATCTGGCACTTGTTTCCATCTGGAATTCAGCATGGAAATCAAATAGGAATAATCATTGAGTGGGTGTACATGTATGCATCACACCAGTAAAAATGTGCAGGTATATTGAGCCGCAAGAACTGCTGTAAAGGGAGAGAGGTACTTTGAAGTAGCCACGAGAGTTTTCTTACCAGGTTTGTCTCGCAGAGCAACCGGCTGCCGTTAACCAAGTTACCGATGGTCATGTGGAAGTAGGTGTTTCCACTGCTCCAGTTAGAGATTTGCGTGAAGGCGTGCGTGGCCAAGAGCTCCTGTACATACAGTAGTGGCACAGCGATACAGACCGTGAGCGTTGAGCATTGTTGGTGCATCGTGTGAGAGTACATCTAGTTTGATGGTCAGGTACCCATAGCATGACAAGCCATTCCAAATGCTTCTTTTCTAAAAGTACTTGTGAGTTTGGCAGCCGCTGATTGCTAAGAATTCAAGATTCATTTCACTGCCAAGTACAGTTGTAGTGAGTGAAACCGGGACTGATGTACACTTTCCAGTGTGCTGTATGGCCCCGCTATACGCAATGTGAATCAATCAAACATTGCTTCATTGCCCTGAAAGTGTAGATTGGCCTGGATTTCACTTGCCACAAATATTGTACTTGAAGTATCCGGCTTAGCCTCCGGTACAGCTGGTGTCTCACCTTGGTGGCCGGGTTGATGAGGTTCACACCGTTCTTGTTGATGGCGATGAGGAGAGATTCCGGGAATCTTGGCTCGGTTGTTTGCTATACAGAGTGGCAAGGAGAGAAAGTGCACATGCCGCTTACCACCCACGCCCA